CGGATGTGTTTACTGTTAGTGCCCAGGTTAAGCTGTTTGTAACAGGACTCTTCAGTCTAAACCAGGATATTCCTGCCTTCAAGGAACATCTAAGGGATTTCCTGGTCCAAATCAAGGTATGTTTGGTGTGTTTTTTTCAAGAAATAAAATATCATCAGCAGGGTGATATATATCATCAGCAGGATGATACTGTTGGAAAGTACCTGGACAATATTCATGCGGTGTTTGATTAGGAGATGCAAGTTATTTTGCAGCTGTTTAAAATGTAGCGAGAACTCTGTCAAATGGCTTGCGTGACTCTGGTGTGTCATATAACCTACTTCAGTGTGATTTTTTTAATCTTACAAATTGGGCTTAAATGTCATCACTTGTGCTTTATGCTGTGCATACAATTTGTATGTCTAAGATGGCTGCAAAACTTCCTCTAATGGGAAATAAAGCAAGTTGACTTTTACCCAGGTTTTGTTTCAATTCTGCTTGGGACTGGGACGTGTTTTGAAACTTGCTAGAGTAATGCTATGCTTTTATTTTTCTAAAGACGCTAGAATTCAGGGAGATTGTAGGAAAGAGTTTGTTAATTAGTTTTGAGACTGCAATCGTCAGGTATTTCAAAATTGTAACGATACTGCTTTAACGGTGATACGCTCCAAACGTTGGGTTACTAGAGCATCCTGTTCTGTAACACAGTGAAAATCTTAAAATATTTTGCATTCCTTTATATCAGTTCTGACCTTAGGAACAGAAAGCAAAACGAGCAAATAATCTGGCAGGGAATATGAGGGGAAGATGTTTTCTCTGTCATTCTGGATTTTGGAAGCTTCTTACTCTGCCCTAAAGCATTTGACAATAAACTAATGACTTTATGTGAATTATACAGGAATTTGCAGGTGAAGACACATCAGACTTATTCTTGGAGGAAAGAGAAACAGCCCTTCGGCAGGCTCAAGAGGAGAAGCATAAACTTCAGATGTCTGTACCTGGCATCCTTAATCCACATGAAATTCCCGAGGAGATGTGTGATTAAAAAAAAAAAAATAAAAAACAAGTTTTGCAGTTTTCTTTCTGTACAGCTACTTTGTTGTAATAGAAGAAAACAGCACTTGGATATTTGTTGACCAAAATGATGCCAATTTGTAAATTAAAATGTCACCTAGTGGCCCTTTTTCTTATGTGTTTTTTGTATAAGAAATTTTCTGTGAAATATCCTTCCATTGTTTAAGCTTTTGTTTGGTCATCTTTATTTAGATTTGCATGAAGTTGAAAATTAAGGCATTTTCAAAGTAATTACTTCATGCCCATTTTGTGGCTAAGGGGAAAATAGGCAAAACATAACTTGTAAAAGACAAGCATATATTGCAAAATAATACAATTTCCTGTAAGAGTATCGATTTTTAATTCGGGATCATTTTCTTTCTAGTCTGTCCTGCAGTCTAGGAGAAAAGGTAATGAGTAAAACAGATTGAATTAATTGTTAAGCAGAGGATTATAGTGCTGCATTTGTTTTGATCAGTTAGCAGCTTTTTGGACTGAGTGGTAAGGCTAGGCTACATGTATTTGCAAGTTGTATGGCAAGTTTGCAGCAAGATCATGTGCATATCATCCCATTGTAAAGCAACTTCTAAAGAGTATGGGAACACAGTACAGTTAGTTATTTTTACACAGTTCTTTTGTTTTTGTGTGTGTGCTGTCGCTTTGTCGACAACAGCTTTTTGTTTTCCTCAATGAGGAGTGTTGCTCATTTGTGAGCCTTCATTAACTCGAAGTGAAATGGTTAAAATATTTATCCTGTTAGAATAGGCTGCATCTTTTTAACAACTCATAAAATAAAAAAAAAAAAACTGGCTTTTGAGATGACTTATACTAATTTACATTGTTTACCATGCTGTAGTGCTTAAAGAACACTACTTAAAAGCAAAATAAACTTGGTTTACATTTATTTTTCTTTCTTTGGCTTATTCTTTTATCGGATGAAAATGCTGTGACCATATTTAAGACTTGTATCCTGAAGGCGTAGGAAGAGTTCCTTGAGGTCTAGATAACTGTTGCTTCTGGCTTGCCTCATCTCAAGGACTTTGGCTGTGCTTGAAGTTAACGTGAACTAAGTTGGGTTCCATTTGGAAGTACGGTAGCTGTTCCGACTTACCTTCATGAATAAATATTCCATACTCCGTCACTATAAAATGCCAGGCGTAAGGTACTCTTGCTTTCTCTCTATATGGACTCTTTGCAATTTATTTCAAAGAGGTATTGCACTGTATCTTGACTAAACAATTGATACTAGTACATGTTAACAATGCATGTAGACAAGTTCTACAGTTATTTTTCTACCTGAAGTTTTGTAGTTACATGATTTTCACAGACTTACGAAGTACAGCTACGAAAAGCAGTATGAACACTAAGATTGTGTACAGTCTTGGCTTCCCCATTTTTGTAATGTCTTGTCTATTTTTGAACAGTTGATGTTAAGCTCTCCCAAAGTTTTTCCATTTATTTGGTCTCTAATCTTAAGATTGTTACCATGATGCAAAGTATAGCCGTTCATGCAGAGCTGTAAAACGAGGTTAGACAGTAGTGGAGGTGTTTTATGTAAGTTTGGATACCGTAGTTAACTTTGTGCTGTATATTCCTTTTGAAGTAGAAGTGCATGAGTTAGCAGTGTTTGTGTAGAATTTAGCTGCGGCCAGAATGTTTCCAGTCTTAAGTATTGGCCCCTTTCTGTTTGTGAACATCTCTCCATTTGTTTTACTTAGCTGGCCCTAAAAAAAGCATAGCTGCTTCTGCCTGAAGGTCGTTTGGCGATGTAAATGTTGTGAGCTGGCAGTTGCTAATCTTTGGAGAGAAGGTTCCTCAAACCCTTTACGGCTAGGGCTTAGAATACAGCCTACCAAAATTGTTAATTATTTTGACAGTTAAAAAACTCATTTTGTTCTCTCCTTAAAGCTCGTGATTTAAGCTTTTTCATGTCTTCCTGTCCTGTCGATGTATAGCTTTCTGTTCCGCTCTGTGAAGGCGGTATCATCTTTAATAGGCAGTTTAAAGTAAAATATTTGAAGTACTGTTGAAGGACGCATCCGGAATGGACATTAAATGGCTTGTGGCCAGGCTGAGTCGCAGCATTCTAGAGCTACAGATCATCAAAAGCTGTGCAGAGAAGTAAGAAAATGTTATTAAAATGGAAATAAATACCACTGATAGCGTGACGTCAGAATGATCGTATCCCACGAGTCAGAGCACTAAATACTGACTTGGTTCTGCCATGCAGCGGCATTAACAGTGCATTGAAAATAGTTTTGAACAAAAAATGCACGTATGCTTTTATGCACGTTATTTCTTTCTGTATTTAAGATTCAGGTTAGTCTGAGGCTCGTGGTCTGGTTGTTTACTGAAGAGTTAAATCTGACCTAAACTCTCAAACAACAAATCTGAAATGTATTTTTAAAGTTGATTCAGAGAAGAGTTGTTTCGTTATTTTGATACCTTTTGGATTACCTAGTAACAAAATTTTAATCTTAGTTTTTGCTTCCCTTTTAGATCTAAAAACTTACCTGTGGTCTTGACTTGTTATCGTAAGAATCGGTGCCTTTCACTGATCTCTGCAGATGCTATAAAAATGCAGCTTATGCAGAGTTCTGGATACCATTACAGATTTGACTTGTGTGTGTGTGTGCATATTCCTAGTGCAGTTATCCTGAATGTGGACAAAATAATTACAATGTACGTCTTAAAGTTCAAGTTCTAATGCACACTCTGTAAATGAAAATATATGGATAAAAAGCATGAACCATCATATAAACATCTACGTAACTTGTAACTATATGTAAACCAATGTTTTGTGCATATTTCTATACAGATTTTTCAGAAAAACCCAATTCTGTGTACTGCAGGTACATTCATAAATACGAATATTACAGGGTGTTTTCTGTGTTTACATGAATTGATTGCCTGTTAGCTGATGAAGGCACCCCCAAGTACTTGTTTCAGGCTACCATGATGTGTTTGCTACTGTAACTGAAGCAGATTATTTTCCAAAGCATTTTAGGTTAGTTTGTTTTGTTCTGGTTTTTTGGGGTTTTTTTGTGGGGGGGGGTTTTGTTTGTTTTGTTTTTTTAACTAGAATAACTTGGTGTGTGTTAATCTGATTGGTTAAGTGAACTATTTTCCAATAAAGCTAATATTTATGCAAAAAAGCTTTAGAAATGCTCATCTCTCAAGGAAGCTTTAAGAGTTACTTCTAATAGTTTTTAGCGCTGGAAAGGCAGTAAGACTTCAGCTGTGGGCTTCTCAACAGAAAAAAAGATTAGGAAAAGATGCTGAAAATAATGCATTAAAATGTAGAGAGGCTGACAAAAGTGAGAGGAACTTGCACTAGTGCTGTAGTCTGTCCCGTAGTCTATTTATCATTGGATAAATGATTATTACTGATCCAAGACTTCTGGGGTACCGTTTGTATTTACTGGAAGATACGTCTAGATTTTTTCCCTTTCTCCCCACTTAACTAGGTTTGTCTCCAGAGCAAAATCTAAATGTGGAGATAGCTTTTTAAAAACCGTTTTGGTGCCAAAAATGAGTACAAAACATACTTCTCCCCTCATCTGCCCTTCATGAATGCACCTTTGCACTTGATTTCTTGAGACTGAATTTATTTTTAGACTTTCAGATGTAGGAGCTCCTTGCTTCATTGTCCACGGCTGATTATGGCCAGCAGTGTTCCCTTGGGAAAAGGCTTAGCCATTCCAGTTGAGGGATTCATTTTTCAGGTAAGATTTTACATGCAATGCACCTTAATTACTTAAAGCACACGATTTCATACATACATACCTGCCCTGTGCGCTGCTATTGGTCTTTGAACATGTGTTTCTCACTACCTGTGAGTGCTTGTTTGTGCTGTAAGTGGGTACGAGAAAACGGAGCACCAAGAAAAGATGGGGTTGAGGAGGAATGTTTTGGAAGTGAAGAGTGTGGATGAGAATGACAGAAGTCAAAGATGAAAACGAGACACTTGCATTTTCACTTTTATTTACCCCTTGTAAGTTAAGAGTGAAACAGCACTTTTTCCTGGGCAATACATTGGGTAGTCTCTTCCAAGTCCTCCATCAAAATATGTCAAGGGGCCCGTTTTGTTTTGGTCTTTTATTGTGAACACCTTTTTAAATCTCGAGTCTTTTTAAATATTGTCTCAGTTTTCTCTGAGTCTTGAGGAGTCTGTAGTCTTTTATGGATTCTGTAATCTCAGCAAAGACCATCAGGAAGAATTGGCCAATTTCGGTTGGAGGATGGAGGGAGGAGTTAAAATTGTTTTCTCTGACGTGACTACGTAACAAGGTTAAGTGTGTATGTGTGCTGCAAAGAGCTGACTGCAGCCCAGTTACTACCACTGCTGGTTATTTTAACACGTATATTGATAACCAGGCAGTAATGACCAGTTTTCTCTTGTGGCATCTCTTTAGCGTTAGATCTGGCTTGAGCATTTTTGCATCAGCCTTCATAACTGGTTTTATGAACTTCTCAAAGCTTTGCAATTAGCTTGTGAACTCTCTCCCCAGAGCTTTACCGCTGAGCAGCTTGCTGTCAGGGTCAACTTGAAACTTGCAACTGTGCAATCATAAAAGCAGAGTTCTCCAAGGGAACATTGTAAACATGCTTTACCAGTAGAAAGTCCAAAACAGGCCCAAATGTACAAAAAAAGCTGGCTGCGCTCTCTCTGATGACTGGTAAGATGGTTCAGTTGCTGATGGCGCTGTCACTCAATGCTCAGAAAAGTAGCTGTTGCCTTGCTTTCAAATCAAAGGGATGACCAGTTATCTGACAACTACTTTATAGACTGAAATAATCAAAATGAAGATTGAAACACACTGTGAGGGATATTACCCCAGAATGAGGCTGAGAACATGGGTATAATCAGACTGTCTCATCTGGAAAAAGCAGTGGTAGACTAGTGGCACTGAATCTCAAGCTAGTACAGTCGGATCTCCACCAGACCTTTATGGGTGCAGAAGTACTCAAACAAAAATCTCAAGCTAGTACAGTCGGATCTCCACCGGACCTTTATGGGTGCAGAAGTACTCAAAGTAACTTCAACCGAATGACTAACCAAGATTGCAACCTAAGAAACAGGCTCTAAGACGCAGTCTGAAGCCACCCTAAAGTGGAGCTTGCCCTGTTTACATGGCTGTACAGTGTGATTCTTACCACACCCAATAGCTGCTAATAATGTTTATTAGAATGCAGACTATTTTCCTACTAAAATGCTGAGCAGCCAGTTAGCTGATTTTGGAGCAAACTGTTTAATGTAGCTTGGTGGTATAGTGAGCCTTATCTGTTCTTACATGACATGTTTTTGGCCTAATAGGGCTGTAAATTATTTTGAGTGTATTCTCTAATATTTGGGGTAAGTCAAACTAATTGAGTTTGTCTTCACAGGGTGCTGTGATATCAAAGTCTAGTTAGACGTGACCCTTGTTAAAAAGTTTAAAATGCTCATAGGGCAATTAAAGTCAAGTGCTGAAACTTTAAAAGCGTGTAAATTTAAACTGATTCTGTTGCACTTCAGCGAAGTTTCATTGGTAACTTTACATTATGCAGGCAGAGACTTATTTCCTTTAGTGAAATTAAGGATTTCCTAGGCAATGGATTCCAACCATTTCCAGCATCGTTCCGGACTAGAGGTCACAGATATAATTGGACTGGCTGGAATTCCCCTTTTTGACACTATCCTCTGTATAGCAGAAATTATTTACTTGCTTTCCAGCTGTCACAGCTTCCCTCTCCTCTTCAGCATCTGCTGAAGTCACTGGTAGTTTACTTTTCATTGTAAATCGTGGCAGCAGAGGAGTAAACATGCAGTCCGTTTGGCTGTCACTGCTACAGGAATGGGAACCTACAGCAGAGCAACAGAAAGTTCAAACAGAAGATAATTCAGTCATCCCATGTCAGACACAGCTCTGGTTAAAGTAGTTGATATGACTAATGTAATAAAAAAAAAAAGTTTTCCGCATTCCCCAGTTACTCTTCGTAGTTCAAACCAACTATATATGTTCATATAGAGAACGAAGGCTTAAAAATTCAAAGTATGAGGTAGGCTAGGAGAGGCTGAAGTGTCCCAAAAAAGGAACAGGGGCAGCGACCAGCCTTACCACCTCAATGCCTAATCTACCTCAGGGTGGTTGTTGGTTTTGGGGTGTGGGGGGTTTTTTTGTTAGGGTTTTTTTGGGGGGGTGGGGGGGAAGATGGTTAACTCCATCTTTATGGAGTTAATACAGGACTACAGTATTAGTTCAGTGTTGGGACATGGAATTTTGGAAAGTATATGTATGTATGTTCACAAACTCTTAATCCAGTCCTAAACTTGGATTAAGGATCTTAGTTTTGCTCAGGTCTTGCATTTATCTGAATTACTCCTCTGGAAGAACTGTGCTGGCAGTTTACCAGAGCAGATATTTCCAGATGAGGAGCATCGCAGTCAAGGGAAGGAAAGCGGGCCTCCTGGGCATCAAACCACCTTGCAAGGATGGCACATGAGGAGAGAATAAAGGTTAAGAGAAAAAAAGCAACGCATAGATGAGTGTGGGAGGCTGATGATCACTGTAACCAGGCCAGTTATAGCTCCTGTTGTCTTTTGTTTGGAAGCTAGCATTTAATCAAAAAAAGGGGGGGGGGGCAATTTCACCTCTACAAAAAATAAGATTCTTGTGTGCAGTAAAAAGAATTTGGCAATATTCCAGTCTGCACAAAAGTAGAGTGACTCAAGGTCACCCATACTCTTCTGTTTTATTCATTGAACTTGGCATGCGATACCAGGCTTCAAAAGGCTCCTTCCTTGTGCTGACTCTGGGGTTTATGTGGTGCTGCAACCAGATCAAAGAGCTGATTTGTCAGAAAAACAATCTTTTAAGATATTTTGGCAGTTAATTTTGGTTCTGTTATAAGATTTACTGCAAGGTCTGTATAAGGAAGAAAGAGGGGAGAGAAAAGTGCAAATTCAAATCAGATTATGCAGATTGTGGAACTACGCTTTCTATCAAAAAATGTGGTCTTTTTCCAGATGCAGACAACTCGCTCGTATCGTATAACCACTGATTCATTCCATGCTAGCGGGAATACCTGTGCAATATGATGTTAAAGGTTAGGGAAGCAAATAAGCGTGACTTCTTGAAGATACAGGGTTTATGTTATTTTGCTGTGACAAAGTTAGGATGCTTTCCAAGCTCCTCTTTGTACAGCTCTGGCTTCCAACTTCAGTAACTTCAATTTTGGTAATGGTAAGAAATAAAGGTTATTCCAGCAAATGAAGACTTGTGGCATGTTGCAAAGACAACTCATGAAAGCCATGAAAAAAATGACATACGAAAGAAAGAGAATTGAAATAATCTCAGACACGCAAAGTAAGACAGCACGACATCAAGTGAAAAATGACACTATGTATATACACAACATGAAAGCCTCTGATCCACCTTTGACGGATCTCAAGGTTTGAAAGCAGTGCTGTAGAAAAGAAAGGTGGTTGGTACCTTAAGTCAGGCATGAGCAGAATGTGATAATATTCTGGACTGCTTTTTTATTCTTCCATTATACAAGTTTTTCAGGCCATCTGGAAGAGATCACACAACCAAAAAAGGCCTTACAGGGTCCAGTACATCTGTGCCATTTTAATAACCACCACACCTATGTCTATCAATAGAAAAGATATTGTTTAGAATAGACTATGACTGTCAGGAATTAAAGTATCTTTAAGTTACATATAACACAAAAGATCAGAAAAAGTTTCAGGGAAGTTTAGTTTGTTATTTACTTGCAGTCCTCCTGTTTCTTGTACTGGTATCTTTTGTTATTCTCAGAAATCCTGTTTGAAAGATACTTGCATTAACATACGATGTGAATTGAAGTGACAGAGAACAAGGAATCTATGTCTCTCACAGACTCTCAAAGAAGTTAATTTTCTGTATTAGCTTAATTTAGTAAATGGAAATTTCAGCAGGGGATATTTCAGAATAGTTATTCTTGTTGCTATGCCTAACTTGGAAAGTATTTCAAAAACAAGTACTGACAAGAAGTCTGGGTGAAAGATCATTCTAGTATATTCCTGACTTCCACAGTAGTTGTAGTTGAAGCTAGGTCTATTGATGACAGTAACTCGTCTCATTTTTAAACAGCAGTGGGGGTCTTTGTCTTAGCTTAACAAACTGATGCCTTGAAGATTGTTAGGAGGAGAGCATTCTGTGCACAAAATATAGCTTTGTTACATATACAACCACCAGTGGTGTTAGCAGCCTGTGTAAATATTCTTATGGAAATAAAAAAAAAAGACAAAACTGTGTTTCCTCAATGACATCAGACATACATTTTATGTTTCTTCCATTTAAGTCAGTCACTGAGGAACTCAAAACAGCATTTTTTTTTTCCTAATTTGGCAATTTTGATTTATCTTACTTTCTGCTAAACTATATTGCATCTGCATTGCGGCTATTAATAGATTTGTTTCCTTAATCCTATGTACAAGCCAGTGAACTCGAAGCATTCAGAATACTACATTAACTCACCACTGGGTGGTACTACAGAAGTAAAAAACACTACGTGGTACTAGAGAAGTGCCTATTTCGGGGAGAAAAAGCAGCCAGGATCTATCATGCAGTCCATACTCCCATTACATGTACCTGGGAGAGGGAGCATGTGAGTGTGCAAGGCTTACAGATGGCAGAAAAGGGTTTTTCCTGTATGGAAAGCTGCTGTTTGCCTGAAAACTTGTCTTCCAGGGGTCTGAAATCTTGTTCAAAATTAAGAGTTACCTGAAGTGGCAGTTGTAATCAGCATAAATTATGGAACTTTAAGTGAAGTTCTTTCGTTTATTTTTGAGACTGTGTCTTTTCATGAAAATGCAGTATTTCCAACTATTCACAGATGCTGTACTTCCCATTAGACATTTATTACGCAGAATAAATCGCTGTCCAAGGGGAGAAAAAAAAAAACAGGCTCGAAAACGGTATGAGGTAAATTAATTAGTTGCACAAAACGCTGCCGTAGTACTGCGAACGTTTATTTTCGGGAGGCCGGGATAGGAAGCGCCCACGCGTGCCCGTCCCCGAGTCAGCTCCGGCTCTCCTCAGCCGGGGCTGGGCGGGAAGGAATGGCCGACGGCTCTTCCGTCCCGCGCCCCGCCAGCGGAAAACGCCAGTAACTACCGAAAGACGAAAGACCCGAAAACCCGCCTAGACCTAGGAAGCTTCCTTGCTGCGCGGCGTGCCCTCGAGGCGCCCGCTGGCGCTCGGCGCGGTGTGCTAGGCGCTCCCTTCAGGCCGGAGGTCCCCAAGGGCCTCCGCGCCAGCCCGCTGCCTCCCGCCGTGCTCTAGGAGGACGCCTCCAGC